CAGGTTCCCTACCATCGAGTCAGAACAGAGAACAAAAATCCACCTTCGTTAGACTCACTCCTTCTTTCTCACTCTTTTCCTCTCCTGCATAATCTACCTGACGTGCAGCTTTTTGTGTCCTCCATGTCCCCTGAGATGTCTCCCATTCCCTGTCTCTGCCTCTCTGTCTGGCCCTTCTCGTGTTTTCTGTCCGTTTCTCAACAGCGGCCCTCCTGTGCCGATAGTCGTTTCTCGGGGGAAATCTCCCAGAAGAAGCAGCACAAAGCTGTGAACCCCCCCGGTGACTGTGTCTCCGTTTCCTACCGCGTCCTCACACGCACAAACGCACACGCTAACGGGCTGTAACAAAGGAAACAGGCAACACACACTCATTGTATTAGAGACTTACTTGTGTAGCTGTGTGTGTGTGTGTGTGTGTGTGTGTGTGTGTGTGTGTGTGTGTGTGTGTGTGTGTGTGATGGAGCGAAACAGAAGGAACACATCTATCCGCTTGTCTTTATTCCACGTCGACTCTGAACAACAGTGTGTTCGGTGTTTGTCAATGAGCTCACTCACAAACTCTCACCCACACACACACACACACATATTCAGGCTCACACACAAAACGTATACAGAGATTTTAAACCATATTCTCACAGTCACAAAGGTACGGTCCGTAGGCCCGGTCTGTTGATGTCATGGCTAACAAAGCACACGTTGTGCTTTTGTGGGTTCTTTTCTTCAGTTCTTTCTGCTGTTGTTGACGTTTGCTGACCTTCACTCATATTCTGATATTCTACTCCTGCTGCCTGCTGGTCTCGAGCTGAATTGCATTTTGAGCAGCGATCATTTCGGAGGATTTGCAAAATCATCGCTCTGGCAGAACGCCGGCACGAAACACAAAATACACACACATCTCCATAGTGCACTTGCATTGTGCGTCGTTTGAAGCAGGTGCAGTATTCAATATCACTTTATTGTTCCAAATGTGACCCTATCTAACTAATCGAATAAATAACTAATCCTATTTTCACATTATCAAACACACAAAAACACACAACATCTAAAAACTATTTTAAACAAGGATGGAAGCATCTCATTTGTAACAATTTGCAAGCTGCAAAAGCAAGTGTGCGTGTGTGTGTATGTGCGTGTGTGTGTGCGCGTGTGTGTGTGCGCGCGCGTGTGTGTGTGTGCGTGTGTGTGCGTGCTTAGCCCTGGGCTGATCAGGGGAGGCATGTGGTGGCCATTTAGAAGGATTATAACTGTCAGAGACATCAAGCACGACTAATTATTCAGCACACTACACTGTGGGGATGTGTAACTGTGTTCAGAGTGTGTGTGTGTATGTGTGGGAGGGGGAGGGTGTGTGTGTGTGTGACTGCAGGCAGGAAGAAGACGGAGGGAGAGTAAAGCTACAAAAAAAGAGAGAGAGAGAGAGATGGGAGACAGATGGAAATGAATTGAGCCAGACGAGAGAGAGGGAGAAGCTACTGTTAATACCCAGAGAGAATACTGTCTGTAGGAAAGATGGATTGATAGGAACTGAGAGAAGGGCACATTTAGAAGTGTATCAGTGGGAAAAGCCTGTGGGGAATCGTGTGGAAGATCCAGATCCAGGATGGGAAAAAAGACAACTGTGAAGGAGGATAAATGATAGAATGATGATGCATGGAAGGAATGAGTAAGGGGAAGATGTTTAAAAAAAGAACAGATGAGAGAGACAGAGGGAAGAGGGGTGACCTACCTCATGCCTTCATGGATGACTGCATTTGTATCCAAACATCCCAACATGCACTGCTCTGCCACTCGGGGCGAAATCAGCCTGCAGCACCCAATCAGCCGTGGCCTTTTACCACCTCGCCGTGGGGCAGAGTGTGCTCAAGCTGAGTAAGTGAGTGTATTTAGGTTTGTGTGTGTTTGCATGTACAAGAGTCCGCACACACATCTGGTTGTGTGTGTGTGTGTGTGTGTGTGTGGATACAAACCTCCTCACCACACTGCCTCTCTGATTTATCTTCAAACGGACAGCTCAGCCATCTCCTCTCTAACACCTCCGTCTCTCTCCTCCTCTCTTCGCCCCTTCTTCCCTCCACTCTGACTCTCTGACGCTCGCCACCGATCCTTTCTCCATCTAACTCTTCCTTCTACCAAGTCCATCTCTCCTTCCATCCATTTTTACCCCTCCATCCATCTCTCCGTGTTTCCGCGTATCCCTCCATCTGCATCAACTTCCCCCTGTGGGTGGGCGGGAGACAATTTCCTGAATCCCACTGAAGTGGAAAGTTTTCAGATTTAACACATCCCCCACTCACGATGTGCTCCGGCTTCAGAGGTAGTGGTTGGAAGAAGGAGCTGACATTAGGAGGAAGGCCTTTGCATGTGTAGGTGCATGTAAAGATCAGCCGAGTACAGCCTCACACTTTGGTTGGTGTTCGTCCTTAAAATACTTTTCTCTGGTGACGTAAAAGATGAAACGTAACAAGACTTTACTGATTTCGCCAGCTGCTCTGGGGGGCTGTGCTTCAACACAGCTTGGCTTTCAGTTCATTGCTAACACGTCTTAGTTTAGTATGTTAGAATGCGAATATTTGCCATTTACAAACTGAATACAAACCATTCATTTTTTAGAGAGATTACGAGGGTTGACGGGAAGAACAGAGGAAAAGTAAAGCAAAAAGGATGTAACTATTGCAGAGACGAGAGGGAAGAGGGAAAAGAAGGCGGAGAGACTTGAGAATTTGAAGGAAAAGGCAGAGGAGAGGGAGCAGTGAGGAGGTTAAAGGCAACTTGTGTGTAAAGTTGAAAAGCTGCAGTGGATTTGTATTATATATATTATTCCTTCGTAGCGTCTGACAAGAGGGGCAGTTACATCACAACCCTTCGGCTCCCCCTCCTGCCTGTCCATTTGTATTTACGCTCGTGACTGTTGATGGATGTACAGTGTAAAGCCCACACACACACACACACACTCATTAACACACACACATAGAGCAGACATGGGTCATGGGTCTTGCCTGTGAGGTATGTTGTCAAGGTGATATATAATGGTCTGATCAACCTCAGCTTGATCACTGTGCAGACAATGAAGAAAGCATCTCTCACTGTGCTTTTAAAATCTATGCGCTCTGTATTTCTAAATATTTGCTGATGTGATCAGATCCTATTTCATTATGTGTCCGCTGTTCCACAATAACTAAACTTCGCTTGAACCCTGAACTGCTTTTAAAGTGTAATACCTGTCAACAGCAGCCGTGTGAGTAATGAGACAAACTTGCTCGCATGCAATGTTTGATTTTCCGGGTTTTTCACGTGATTCTCAGATGGTGGCGCTGATGAATCCGACAAACATCTGTGAAACGACATCCACTGCATCTGATGCAGAATAAATGACAGTCATGAGAACAACACATGCATTTCGCTTTATGATCAGTTCAAGCTTGTTGCAGCAACCTCCTGTGATTTTTTTAATGGCGGGGTCTGAAAAGAGTGAAATTCAATTTATACAAGAGAGTGGAGCCATTCATTACAGTTTTAGAAAAAAATGACTCAAGGTTAAAACATTCGCTGAATAAGATATGGATGTGCAATAACGTAAGTGAGAGCCATAGTATGTCCATGAAGTCTTTCAAGAGTCTATAGTTCTCTTTGAAGGGTTATGTTTGAATTCACTTTTGAGCCATGAAACTAACAGAGATTAAAAGCAATGTAAGAAATATATTGCTATTGATTGAGAGCAAATCAACTTTGCTGTCCATTTTCAATAGAAGCTTTGACTGGACATCTAGTCTGTATTGATATGGCCAACAAATGTAGATTACAGCGCATGTTTTCGTTAATGTTGCTTGATTTAGCTCTGCTTTTGTGAAAGGGTTAGTATCAACACATGACAATATTGAATATCTATTATCTAAATAACATGCATAGAGTTCTGTATGTTTCTTTTTGTCTCCCCTTACCTCTGAATCATTCAATATGTTACATTTTGCAAGAGTTCATTTATGTCTGTAAAAACAACTCATACACAACTCATCCAAAAATGATCACACCCTCTGAATTCTCATCTCCACCAGCCCTTCTCAGAGCGAGATGATATGCTGGTGCTTACTGCACTCTGCTGGTCAGCGTGTGGAATTATACCACAACTAAATGGCAGGCAAATTTGTATATGTATTCCTCTATGTTTCACAGATGCACAGAAAGAGCTAAAGAAAGGAAAGGAGAGAAAGCAAAACAAAGAGAAAGAGAGATCACACCAATTAAAGTCAAATTAGGGTAGGACGCCAAGTACGTTGGCTACCAGAGCTGATCATTTTTCATCCTGGTGCAGCTTGCCAGCTGGTAATATTCACATATGTAATTGGGACAAATTGCTAACCAGTGGTGCAATTAAAATGTGTGTGTGTTTGTGTCATTCATTTGTAGAGGGTATAATGAAAGTGGCACGTTGAGGATGAACAGCGTCTACTTATGAGAACAACTACACCTCACAGCAGCTGATTTCACTCCACAAATTAGCATCACTTCTGAGCCACTGCTGAGAAAATAAACTGAAGAGGGGACTGCTGGGGCGTTGCAGGTAAAATAGTAATAATACAGTGTAAATTATATGTATATTAACTGAATCTGGACAGATTTCCCTCTGCTGCTAGTCACATGTTTACAGTTGTATATGCTTATAGAAAATAGTATTGTTCTTCACTAACTGACACATTTTTACAACATACTGATTATTGTAATCTAGACTATAGCCACACGCCTAGGTGACATATGTTATAGTCTGTATATTACTTGTGTATGTTAGAAAGTCCTAGTTTCTACACAGCATTTTTTACTCTGGTCATAATTTTCTTTGTAATCACATGAATACAAAAATTGATTTTTCTCCATCACAATGAGTTGTAGCAGTTGTTGCCATCACCATAGTGGCACTGATGAAAATAAAAGTGGATATCATAGACTGCATGTAGACACAGCAGAAGCAACAGAAATAGCGGCTGTAGAAAAAAAGGTTCGTATTACGCATGCGCAATGACTCGTTGAAATAACTAATGTGAGAAGTCGACAGCGACACGGAATCTGAGCTTTGACGAGATTGTTGCTGTAGTTCTGAGGATGCACAACTACAGCTTGCGGACAAAGACTTGCTCGGCATGCTCTGGTAAACGGCTGGTGAATTTATGAAGGTACTCGAGGAGACGTACAGGATCTGCACACCCCGTCGGCACAGTAACTTGGGACAGAGGCAGGGCTCTCCTGTTGGCTAACGCAAACTAACTCCAGGTAGCGCACAGTGCTAATGCTAGCTATTTACATTGATTTAATTCGTTTTCATTTGTAAAGTGCATAGTGTTTACTTGCCAACCCATTTGTCTAACCGTTTTATACTTTTGTGTTGCAACTTGTCATACTAAAAGGGGTCAGCAAATGCTCGGGGTGCCGCATAACAAACATACACGCCGGCTAACCTCGTAGTAGCATGCTACGTTAGCCAGTTTGTTATCGTCAATCATCGGTGCTAGCTGATGATATTGGTAGCAAGGAGCTAGCCAATCGGGTGTCAAGTCATCTAACGAAAGGAGTGTTTCCGGTAAAGCTCTCCAGAGTAAAACAATGCTTTTAAAATAATACATTTAGAAGAAGCCCGTTGGAGCGTTAACATGTATTTTAACGTTACATTAATATTTCTGGAAGGGTGACTTGCGCAAAAAAACATTGAGCCTCTAAACTATACCTGTTAAATGTTTAATATAAAAGAAGAGCGCAGCATGTAACGTTGATTTGTATACGGTTACTACTTTTACCGTTCATTGTAACTTTCCTGCCGTCTTAGCCACCGCCTGTCTTTAGATGTAACGTTATTTAAATACTCCTAATACACTTTATAAAGGTCTTTTCTGTTACCATTTTAGATTGTTTCACCTTTATTTTGAAATCAATAAGTTTATTTCCGGTTACGTTAGTTCTCCGGACCATCACAACCAGAGCGGCGCCGCTAGCTAGCGAGTCAAGCGAGGACGTCCACCTAACCTTTATTTTCTACCTGAATAAACTGTTGCGTTTTTTCTAAACGAAAATTCCAGTTTATCGTTGGTGAGCTAAATTACTGTGATCTCTACTGATTTCTGAAACCTTGACTTTAATGTCATGATTTGTGGTAATCCAAACAGAAATGATGGGTTCATTGACTTTCGCAAGGAAGCTTGCGTTCAAACACGAAAGCAACGTGACAGTGATTGACGGGCTCAACTCAAAAGGAAAATATACAAAAATAAATAATCAGCCCCTCGAACTGCTAAATGTTGAATCAACATGTCTCTAAAACAGTTTATTCAAAATCTCCACCTTGTCCTCTTTTCAGATCTTGTCACCTGTCCTCCTGATGCTGAGAGGCTCGCGGTGACACGTCTGCCTCACCTACAGCTGAACTACTGTGAAGATTGTTTCTTCTGCGGCCTGCTGAAAAAGTGGAGCTGTGTCAACCTCATTTCTATACCCATATTCCCATAAGGTGTGGTCGCACCCAAAAGTTGAGATGTCCATCACCAACACGCCCACCAGCAACGATGCCTGCCTGAGCATCGTGCACAGCCTGATGTGTCACAGGCAGGGCGGTGAAAGTGAGACGTTCGCCAAGCGGGCCATTGAGAGCCTGGTGAAGAAGTTAAAGGAGAAAAAAGACGAGCTTGACTCTCTCATCACAGCGATCACCACCAATGGGGCTCATCCCAGCAAGTGCGTGACCATTCAGAGGACACTGGACGGCCGGCTGCAGGTGGGACAATACGGTTATCTAGATTATTCATTGAATGAAGGAAGATCATCTCCTTTCTACACATGTGTTGACAAGCGTAGGTAAATTATACATCTCAATGTTTGGCGATTAGTCCCCTCTCGATACATTACATGTCATTTAGCTGAAGCTTTTATCCAAAGCGACTTACAATAAGTGCATTCAACCATAGGGTACAAACTCAGAACAACAAGAAACAAGAAAGTGCAATTTCCTCAGCTTATTATTTTTGTTATAATTTACCACGTAGACCTCTTTATTTTGCTTAAGTTATTTTTTGTTGTGCGTTTTTTGTTTTAAATCTACCTGGCCAAAGCTCAAAGACGTTGGCTGGATTTGAATTGTCAAAAAATTACCTTCTAACCACTATTTCTTGACCTCTGTGGAAAAGGTCCAGGGGTCAAGCAAAGATAATTCCGAGAATTCCAGAGGACTTTGGAAAAGACAGCCGCGGTGTTCAGGGAATCCGACCCCGCTCCCACTGAGCCACGTAGTTCCAATGCGATGGGAGACCCATGTTAGTGGCCTCAGTCTGAAGTGCCGAAACTACAATTTCTCCAAAGATGGACCACAAAGAAGCGCATCTAAGATGCATTTGTTCATGTGTTGTTGCATGATTCATGCAGACGACATAAATCAACCAAGTATTAATTTTTTAAATAAGTTGCGTTATAAATGATGCTCACGGTTACTTGCATGATCTGTATTTCTCTGTCATGATCGTTATTTGTTGTAAACAACCATGATGCGTCATTATTTGAATATTGCCGCCGCAAGGAATTGTGTGATGTGGTTCCTACGCTAAAGGAGATAAGTAGGGAAGCCTTTAAGCTCCTTTCCTTTGCATTAGAGAATTCAAACCGCTCTCATCATGGCGGCCACTTACTTTACCTCCGGGTCATTTAACTCAGTGAGGAACCTTCCTAAGAACATTAGACAATTCAGATCCAGCCGTTCTCTCTGGTATAGTGTGTGCCAAGGAAAAGCCTCAATTTATTTGCTGCAACCATAACTACTATTTGGACTTTTTTTAGTTTCTTAGAATTCGTCAGATCATTTGTTTTCAACCAAACAATTTTTCAGCTCCAACTATGTTTCATCAAACATGTGAGATGAGTAACTTACCAAAATAAAGACTGCAAACTGATTTAATTCAGCGCAAATAGCTACTGTCTGGAGCTTTTCACCACTACAGTCGAAGATGAGCTGTATTCGAGTAACGGACACTCTTTGACCTCAGCTGTGAATTTGCAAGTTAATTAACTCTTTCCCTGTATTCTGCCTCCCTGTTGTTGTTGTTTACCAGGTGGCTGGACGTAAAGGGTTCCCTCATGTCATCTATGCCCGGCTGTGGCGGTGGCCTGACCTGCATAAGAATGAACTGAAGCATGTCAAATACTGCCAGTTTGCCTTTGACCTCAAGTGTGACAATGTGTGTGTCAACCCCTATCACTACGAGCGAGTGGTGTCTCCTGGTATAGGTGAGCATGGAGAGATTTTCAGTCCACTTTTTGGTGTTTGTTTTTTTAATTGGTTTAAATCTATATGGGTCTCAATAGAACCCAATTAAAGTAACCTCAAAGATTCCGTTTTCTGTTGCCTCCTACTGAAGTGGACACATTTTAGTGAAACAGGCATAATTGCTGGTACAACTCAACATTTGCTGTGACTCTTAAGCCTGTTCACTAGCCTGTTCCTCCCTTTCCTCGAGCCACAGACCTGTCGGGACTGACGTTGACCAGCTCTGGTCCCAGCTCCGGTCCCAGCTCCGCGATGATGGTAAAGGACGAGTATGATTTCGATGGGCCGCAGAGTTTGCCCTCAATCGACGGAGGCCACTCCATCCAGACCATCCAGCACCCTCCGTCCGTCGGCTGCCCGACCCCTTCCGAACCGTTTGCAACTCCGAACCTGCTCCCGCCTGCTGAGGCCTCCACCTCTGCCGCAACCTCGTCCTTCCCTGCCATTGCGGCCGGATCAGGCAGTAAGATGCAGTCGTAAAATATTCCCTTTCCCAAATGCCACATGTGTCTGTATTTGACGGTTGAAAACAGTTTTCTTCTTGAGAAAACAGTCTCAAGAAGTCCTATTTTGTTTTTCGAATAGTTTTGATGACTGTAGACTTGAGACTTTGTCCTTTTTTATTGTAACCATCTGGATTTCCTATCGTCTTAGGTGCCAGCTCCACCTGGTCTAGAAACGGCAGCTTCACATCCAACATACCCCACCACACCAACGGACATCTACAGCACCACCCTCCTATGCCACAACCGACGCACTACTGTAAGGACACCGCTGGGACTTTCTCCACAGACATCATTGCATGCTTGTATACAAATATCTATCTAAAGTGTGTGATCCCTGCCGTTGCTTTCTGCTCCTCTCAGGGCCAGTGCACAATGAGCTCGCCTTCCAGCCGCCTATATCCAATCATCCAGGTGAGAACACGCAATCCACACGTACATAAACGCAAGGCAGGTATATTGGAGAACTAGTAGAATTGAATGTCTTTATTTTCCTAATTTGAATTATTCGTATATTATTGCCTTTTTGGCTAGCAGCATTAGCTGCTTGAAAAAGTGAGACTAGATGAGATATAAAGTTGTTAAAATGTTCAGTTTGACAGCTTTTCTTTACATTTTGATTGTCGGAATGGAAAATAAAGCGCCGATTGTAAAGACTATGAAATGTTATGGTTGAGTAATGGCTTCAGTCATTGCTTTAAATGCAGATGATGCTTGTTTGTCATCACTTTTTATATATTTAACAAACAAAAAAAACAAAGTCACAAAAAGTTTGATTACAGTGACCATTTTAGATTGATGACAAAAATCCCACTGACAGCCGGTTCCCTCCTTTGGTTCAGCTCCTGACTACTGGTGCTCCATCGCCTACTTTGAGATGGACGTCCAGGTCGGGGAGACGTTTAAGGTTCCCTCCACCTGCCCCATCGTGACCGTAGACGGCTATGTCGACCCCTCGGGAGGGGACCGCTTCTGCTTGGGGCAGCTCAGCAACGTCCATCGCACCGAGGCCATCGAGAGAGCGAGGTGGCAAGATCCGTTTAAAGGCCGCGCTAAGGACAAGGACAATATAATACAACAATAGAAGAAGCATTTATCAATTGTTATTTGTAATGATTATTCGTCCCCTGTTTGTCTTCTGTCCCAGGCTTCACATCGGTAAAGGGGTTCAGCTGGAGTGTAAGGGCGAGGGAGACGTGTGGGTGCGATGCCTCAGTGACCACGCAGTGTTTGTCCAGAGTTACTACCTGGACAGAGAGGCGGGTCGAGCCCCCGGAGACGCCGTTCACAAAATCTACCCCAGCGCGTACATCAAGGTAAGTGCATATAGACAAGACAAATCTTCTTTGGAAACTGAAGGCGAGTTCCAAACATCCACTTCAATGCTGTCTCCTCTTGTCCTTGCGCTCCTGCCAGGTGTTTGACCTCCGGCAGTGCCACAGACAGATGCAGCAGCAGGCTGCTACGGCTCAAGCAGCGGCCGCAGCCCAAGCCGCCGCCGTGGCCGGGAACATACCGGGGCCCGGATCGGTCGGAGGAATCGCTCCAGCTATTAGTAAGCTACCGTAACTGCAAATACGCATGCGCATTCACACATGGAGGCAGTATGGTTTCATGTACGTTTCACTGCAGGTGAGGAGCGAGTGTGAACAAATGGAGAACTGCGAAGACACCCGGATTCAAACAAATTCTAATTGATGTGCTCTATTAAAACCAAATGAATGTTACAGAACTACAAAGTTGTACTGATTTCTATTGGATGGTCAAAATAATTTGCTTAGACCTAAACAATTCCCTCAAATGGTAAATGTACAGCAATGTAATATACCAGTAATCTTTTTGATTCAACACATGGTAATTACTTTCTGTTAAGTTCTTGATAATAGCGCCGTATTCAGATTGCTTTGGTTCAAAGATTGAAGTCTGAGAAAACCAGCAAGTCTATGCATTGCAGGCTGCAACCGGTGCAGTTGATTCAAGTTATTTGGAAGTGTAGATAAACATTTATCGTTTCCAAATTCATTTTCAATAAATCTCCCTCTTTTCAGCTTCTTTCAGCAAGTTTTAGTAATAAATCCTAATAAAATCTAATTCATAATCTTGGGTTTGAACCACTATATTCCTTGGAGTTTGAGGTGCTCGTCACGACACGTTTTATCACCCTGACCTGATGTTGTCTCCGTCCCCTCAGGTCTGTCAGCAGCAGCGGGCATCGGCGTAGACGACCTGCGCAGGCTGTGTATTCTCAGGATGAGCTTTGTTAAGGGCTGGGGGCCCGACTACCCCCGCCAGAGCATCAAGGAGACCCCCTGCTGGATCGAGATCCACCTCCACAGAGCGCTGCAGTTGCTGGACGAGGTCTTGCACACTATGCCCATAGCGGACCCACAGCCCCTGGACTAAGCATTACGCTGCAACGCAACCACGCCGATGAGAAGTCCTTTAAAGGACACCGTAGTAACAAAGCACCACAACATGCACACAGATGACCTGCAGGTCCCATGAAACTGGGATATACAGCAAACTACTCTTCAACCAGCGACCACTGACATTAGAACCAGTAAACCAGGGAAGAACATCCCAGTGCGCGGCTGTGGGACGAGACGGCGCCCTCCAGAGTGCCGGCAGCAAACTGCCGCGCGACAACACTCGATTGGGTCGCCGCTCCAGCAAAGGACGACGCCCAGTCGAGGTTTCGGACTAGACGATGATATGACGAACAAAGTTGAGCTGCCCACAGATTATGTCTGTTGTTACTGACCCACTGTGATTCATATCATTTCTTCACTCGACTACAGCGACGACGAGATGCTCCTTCAACATTTCCACCACGCTCGCCTTCCACCTGTTTCAGGTACTTTTACTGTGTTGGAGAACGCCCTCCTTTTTTATGCTGCCACGCGGGGAATCGCCTACACCTTCCTCTGCAAGCCCAATCGCACTTTCTCCCTTTCACTCCGAGAGAAAAACACAGAAAACCGCTCGGAGGCTTTTGGTTCAATTTCATTGCAGTAAAGAGTCCGAGAAGAGACTAACGGTGGTTCCTCAGATGTCGGTGGTCCAATCACGGGACGCGCTGGGTTCATCGATGTTTTGACAAACCAAAGTACTTGTTGAGATCTACTGTGAGTCCAGACTTTCAGTCAGCTGCTGGACTTTGCCCCCAATCCCGTTCATTTGGAAGTTTCTTTAACTTTACATGTGCTAATGATTATTTGAGTTTTAACAGTTTGCCGATTTGTATCTCCAGTCGTACCCAGACACATCACACCTGTTGATTTATCGTACTGAAATATCTTATGCCTGCAGCCCACATATATACATATATCCTACTGGATCCAGGTCTCTTGTGTATGGTTTGCTGCTAAAGATGCGTGAATTAAGAGTGTCCTAGCAAAATAGAAATATTTTCTTGGTTTTATTTTTGTTACTCTTATTAATTGATTTGTATTCTATTCGTAGCACTTTATTTTTCCTTGTTTTTGATTGGAAAAACCCTAATTCTAAAGGTTTACCTGCAATACGGAACGGGAGAGAATAGCATGATTTATATTTGGTGTAGGATTGTGAGCAGAGGCCCCTCGATGAGGCATCAAACATATTTGTAACACCAAGACATCTTTTTTTGTTTTTTTAACTGCTTTTGTAGTTCCTTTTTGAGTTTTTTCTTTTTTTTTTAATCAATGTAAATAACTTGTTTTTTAAATGCTTGTCAATGTTAGCATGAATTTGGTAATTCCACCCAATTACCCCCCCACACCCACACATTTTTTAGTACTTCACAAACTAGATTATCGGAGGAGTTTGATTGCATCATGTGGCGTGTACTAGCGTGGCGTGTACTAGCGTGGCGTGTACTAGCGTGGCGTGTACTAGCGTGGCGTGTTGCTGGTTCATTAGAACAACTTCAAAGCCAAACACTGGAAAGTGAGACGATAACTGAATGAAAATGAACTTTTTTTATTAGCAGAGCAGCACATGGAGGCAACTGGTCTCCTGAGAGCTCATGTCTATTCATTAACACCATCAGTAATTTATGGGGCCTTTGCTTTATATTAAAATCTGTATATTATCTCTCATGGGGCTCGACACCGGTGAAGGTAAATTAACAAAAGTAATTAGATTTAATCACCAGCGTCCTCGTCTCCACTGTACGTGTGCTGCATTTTGTTACTGTTTAGTATTCTAGGTTCTGCACATTTATTACAAATACACGTTTCATTTACTTGCCCCAATTGTTTGATTTATTTCTTTGCACCTGACTGCCCTACATTACTCCATTCCTGATCACTTGTATTTGACAAGATATTTAAAAAAAAAAAAGAATCTTCCCAAAAAGGTTATTTTCTTAAATATATCTTTAAAAAGACAGTTTTTTTGTTTTGTTTTTTTAGATCTTGGGTATCCTTGTCACAAGAAATAAGCCCCATTGCTATCTAATGGAAGCAGTTGTGTGTTGCTTTGCATCCTGTGTCTTGTTATTCAGTATTTCACTGTGGTTGGAAAAGCATTGTTGTTCCACATCGGGTATTAAGAGACAAACGATTCATCCACTTGATCAAATGGCAGGAGACGGGATATTGTGATTGTTACTGAATGAACTGATGCTGAATTCTTTCCTGAGCTTTAAGGTGCACTGATGTTTTTATAATACTTGCAGTTAATATAGGAGCCTATAAAGACCCAAATGATGTTGACTACTATGACAGATTGCTGATATACATTTTCTGTATTTCTTATGTGAGAGTAATTAAACATGGCCTGATATTCTTTAAGTGGTGACTTGTATATTTTCCTCATCAATGTAATGTGTTTTGTAAGATGCAATTCTGATGACCATTCAGCTGTGGTAAAAGATTCATGAAGCTGTACTGGGCATCAACGTACTGACACTTATTTTCTACAGAGGACAAATTAACATCTCACAAGGAGAAAGCTTGTTTTCTTCAGCTGAACGGCTACATTCCACTCAGGGCAGCTCCTGGTACTTCTACGAAATGCAACAATGTCTGCGCTGAAACTGCTAATGCGAATGAACTGAATACGAATCATAAACGTGGGTTGTCTCGCCAGAAGAAAGGGCACGAGAAGTGATCCGATCAAGCACCAAATGGGAATCACCTGAGCAGCAACCACAACACTTCATGGTGATGTTAACCCTCAGACATCCATGTATTCACTCAATTACAGTGTGCCGGATATGTCCCCTCATGTTGTAGTTAGTAAAACGTGTCAGTTTGCGTGAGGAAAGCTGTTTATCAAAGTTTGCATATCTAGTAAAATTGGTCTCAGAATATGGGGGCAAGCGGAGATGTTAAACAAACCTTTCACATAATGAATAACACATCAGTTGGACAAATCTTAAAATGAAACAGTCTTTATTAAGTAACTTTAATATCAGAAAAATAAAACTCTTAAATTCTCTTTACAGCAAATATATATAATATCAGTGCTTTGGCCGCAATAACTTAAAAGGCCATTATAAAATATAGTCTGCTTTTAAACTCCTGACTTAATTTGAATTCATATGCCATAAGACTCCCCCCACATATACATAACAAAATTGTAGTAAAATTAGCAAATACTTTGAACTGTTGGTACATCTTAACAATATATGTATTATATATAGATAATCTAAGATACATCGTACAGTATATCGTTCTTAATTTGGTGTACAGACAGGACAGGCAGCTTGAATCCGTGGCCTTTTTACAGTTGCAGTGGGACGTTTTACATCGGCGATACATAATGAAGACATGCTTATGATGCACATTCCATTTTCCACTTGGTTCAACGGCAGCTATCAATACTATCATCAATACTGTAAACTAATTAGACTACAAGCAGACAGCATCGACACCTTCTGCAACATTTCTGGGTTTCCAACTCTTCATTCACTTAATCACAAAAGTAAAAAAAATCTTATTGTAAACATTTTAATATAGATATATTTATGTATATATATGAAATGTAACAAAATAAAAATAAGATCTGTATATTTATCAGTCATTAAATGTAATATCATAAAATACAAACACAAATGTCAATGGACCGTATTGCATCCCTCCGCCAGAGAGAAAAAGAGAGCTTTGTATCTTTGTAGACAGAAGTAAAGTAAAAAGGACGGCTAGAAAACCCGAGGGGGCAGAAGAAAAGGGTTTTTTTTTATGCACTTTTGGGATTCATTCGGTTCCATTTCCTCCAGAAAGCATAATCATCCACTAAAGATGGTGTTTAGGCGGCAGCGCCATTAGAGCTTTACAGTAACTCAAAGAAACAGTTTACAGCTGGAATGCTCGACGGACTGCGGTCCAAACGTCCACAAAGCAACGCCATTGACCATGTGTAGTGTCGGCCCGGCCCGAGAGGGAATCATTCCAGCTGCTCCCCCTCCTCCCAAATGTCCCGTCGACTCGCTCACGCAAAGCGAGGTCTAGAGACGGTGGTGTTTAAAGCTAAGATCTGAGACGCCTTCCACCGTTTGTACCGCTTCACTCCACTCGAGAACAGACAGACGCCCACGTTAAAAAGAGGGGGGGGGGGAACAAAAGCACGACAGTTATTGGACTCCAAACTTGTCAATAGTGTGATAAGACATCGGGAAGGCTGTGCTTAGTAGGGCACGGGACACCAGCGGGTGAGCTGATGCAGTGTGTGCGCATCCTTGGGACATCTCATTGGAGGCATTAGAGCAGGTAACGGAGGGTCAGAAACAACTGAAATGTAGTAGGGAAATAAAAATAACAAAAATAGAAAGGAGCTGTCGGTCAACTTGTTACACCAAAGATGGTTTAAGAGGTGTGATTAAAACCCAGAGGAGCTTAATTTATCTGGTGCTTCCTCGAGGTGTCGACATACCGAGGCGGTCTTTGCATAGGCCTGGTGGACCAGACGTGGGCGGCCGACGTCTCACTTTTGCTGCCTGTGAGGATTGAAAACGGCCGTGACGAGGGCGCCGATATATATAACTGCAGGGAGAACAGCGAGGGAGATGTGTTCCAATTGCAGCCGTCTGCATTGCATGGTTTCATAGAATACCAGCTCTTATGTTTTACCACTAGCTAGCCGTACTTGTAGCAACTACAAATGGGACTGTACTGCGGGAGGAGGAATGTTTCAAAGGGGCGGAGCGCCGCTCATCTTTGCCTAGAAACAAGCAAAACAATTAAACAGTAACACAATGAGACAGAAAAAAAAATATGGAAACAAGAATGGACTAAATGGGATTGCTTGGTGCTAAAAAAAGATGACGCAACGGAGTTAATTAACTGAGAAAGGCTGAAGATAGGAAGCAAAAGAAAATATCCCTGTGGTACAACTTTTGTTCAACCGAGATGCATTTTAGAGATCAAACTTTGACGAACACACGAAGACCTCATTTGGTCAGCTTGTGTTCTCTCGATCTGCATTTGTAGATAGTGTTGTCAGTTAATTACAGGCTTTCCAAAAAGGCCACACATTTGTTTTAAGACAGAGCAACACTGGCCCTCCGCTGAAGAAATAGTCTTTCGTTTACTCAGAACGCAAATAGGCACAAGTTTACAGTAAACTATTTTTTAGTAGTAGAAATGGAAAGCAAGGTGGCAACACTGGAGTGGTGTACCATCATGTGATGGGTACAATAAGCAGTTACCCACTCGTTGGTTCTTGTCGGGGGAAGAAGGAAACCTGATGCCATTAGAGTGTGACATCTGTCCAGTTGCAGGTCGGACCCACTTGGTTAAAAAAAAAAAAAAAAAAAAAAAAACGTGTGGGTCCGCGTTTGCATGCAGATCGACATGCTTTTAACAAAAGTCCTGATTTATGATGCGGAGCATGTAAACACTGTTCGCCACAGATATTACACTTAATAACCAGATACTATTTAGGAAAATGATGTGCGATAGAGTAGCACATATACATTATGTCCAGTTTACTGTGGTAGGCATTTAAAATCTTTCTAAACACAGAATACGATGTGTATTCATATAAGGGAATAATTATTTGTAAACATGCTCACAGGTTATTTCTCCTTAAAGTCTTCTGTAAGCGCAGTAAGAAGAAAAAAAAAAGAATGGGTTCTGTTTTAGCATTTAAAAACAACTGTAGCAGCATTTTTCTTTTGAGATGTAGAACTAAAATGGCTTTGACCCGAAAGCAAATGTTATGTATCCAATAGAATTACATGTACATTTGAAAAAATATAGGTAGTCAGAAATGGATAGTTGGATGCTTCAGGGAGAAGAAAATGTCAATTAAAAAAAAGGAAACATGAGATATAGATATATAAACACACATATATCCATCCCATCCAATGCTACACCGAGGGTCTTCCGACCCTCCCATTGATCAATCAAAAAAGACTTCACAAAAGCAGGCACATGAATGCGCCCCCTCCAAATCCATGCCCTACAGGCAGATCTTTCCTTATTCCCCTGCTGTTCCTCACCTTTGTCAACCAAACACCAGGTGGCAAACAAGGGCGAGGACAAACCTAGACACCGATTCTGGGCCAGTTGTTTTCTCCACAGATGTTATGAACTGGAAGTGTTGGGGAGGCTGAACCAAAACCAGCAATCAAAGTAGACGGGTGACAAAAATCACATGTTGCGGAGCTGAATGGCCTGTGTGACCGGTGACTGGCACACGGGGCAGGCGGCCTCGGCACCTTGGCAGATGTGGGTGGCACAATCTAGACAGAAGAGGTTATGGCCGCAGGGAACCAAGGCAGCGATCACCTGGTTATCCAAACAGTGGATGCATATCTCCGGTCCTCTCCCCGCTGAACCGAGCCCCGATCGATAGAGGAGCGAGGACTCGGGTGGGGAGGAAGAGGAGGCGGTGCTTTCACTGGAGGAGGAGAAGGCCGAGCTGCAGGAGGGGAACCTGTGAGCGTCGAGGGCTCCGGTCGAGCCGAAGGGCCCTCGGTGAACTCGCTGGGCCTGAGGGTGCTCCAAGGCTTCTGTGCCAGAGAAGGTCGGAGAGAGCCGGGGCGTCCCGGGCTGAAGACGAGAGAAACAACAGTCATGAGATAACAGTAACAGATTAGGGCCGGGCGGCAAACCGGTTTCAAATTTCCATACTGCATGAATTCTTCACACACACACACACACACACACACACACACACACACCGTCAAACCGGTCAACGAAATACATCATCTTATGCTTATTGAGATGGTTGTAACAATAACCCACAACTAATGCGCTTTAACAGGGTAAAACACAACAACAGTTTGTAACACTAATAAGCATACATTTATAAAAATTACACCACCGAACTGCATGCTGGGTATTGCTCGTCCGCTATCGCAACAAGAAGAAGCTGTTTTTGGTGATTGATGAAAGTTGGAAAACGATTTATTTATTGCTGGTGGCAACAGAAGCAGCTACAACAGCTAACAAGCGAGTTGAGTTGGCCAGCAGTAGCACTTGAATTGTACTTCTAATGGCACTTCTTTATAACAAGTTGTAAATTGGCTTACTTGATGAAATTTGCATGTTTTTGTTTCTTGTTCTGAGTTTGTATCCCTATGGTTGAATGCACTTATTGTAAGCCTCTTTGGATAAAAGCGTCAGCTAAATGACATGTAATGTAACAGCTGTTCAGGTGGCCGGTTTTCCTTTTCAGCGTCAATGAATTATTTGGTTTACTCGAATACAGAGATAATGCCAGAATCATACACAATACCGGGATATGAATTTTTTGCCATATCTTAAATTCGCATTTAATACCATAGTCGTAACAAGAGGGATCATTTATTCATTTCTGGCCCATCGGAGTCTCGGCACGGATTTTGTCCATGTCATTTTCAGACATGGGGCCTGTAGACACATATGACCACGACCAGCTGTCCAATCTGTGAAAGCATCCAGGTCTACATACCTGGGACCAAATTAAATAAGCCAAATTTGAGGATTTATTTATGGCGACAGAAACAGGCCTGTGACGATCAATATTAAAATGAGCCTTCACAATGGTGAACAGTGATTTTGAAATCAAATTTTTGGCCAATCATCAACGTATATATGTCCATATTTGTTAGTGATAAATCACAGTTTTGATACTTTTAATACCAAACACACCATGCAGATCTAGAATTAAAAAAAATGGACACAAGCCTAAACGGTGGCAGACAGACTGTGTGCTCCTGTTAACTTTCCCCGTACCTGAGATTGACGGGCATCAAACGTCTGGGGGGGCAGGTGGTCCACATAGGGGCTCCAGATTTGTGGCTGCGCGGCAGGGAGCGAGGCCTGGGCAGTGGAGATGGTTAACGGGTCGAATCCAGAGGGCGAGCCTCCGCCTCCCAGGTTGACCAGCTCCTCGGACCCAACGGGGAGGAGGCTCTCGCCGAACCAGAAGCTAGCAGTGGCGCCACCACGGTTACCGTTGTTGTTGTTGTTGTTGCCGTTAAACTGACAGGGGGGGCTTAAATCTGCCCCCCGGTTCCCGTTGCTGCTGCCGTAGACGGACTCGGCCGAGCTGGAGCCGCTTCCCAGGGAACTAGAGCTGTCGTTGCGGTAGGTGGAAGACATCTTGACCCCGCTGTTAATATTGCCGTTTACTCGCGGAGTCCCGTTGACGGTCACTGGCAGCAAGCCAGCCCCGCTGGGGGAGGACGAGGACGCGCCCGCGGGAAGCCACCCGGCGTCCCTCAAGCCGGCCTGCGCCGCAGAATGCTCAAAGCTGACGTCCGTCCCGTTGTACTGGAAGTCGTTGTTGTCGACGCCGGGAGCCTCGATGCCGCCGCAGGTTCCCGTGCGCAGCGCGATGTGCGCCTCTATCTCGTCCCTCGCCCGGTCCACGTTCTCCGGCATGCCGGTGACCTCGAACACGGGCTCTTTGTCGCGACTCGGCGTCACAATGTATGTGTGGGTCTGTTGCTGAATGCGTTTGATGGTTGCTCCTGAAAGACACGACACCAAACAAAGACTCGTACTTAAAACACCAGTCAGATGAACGGCGAGTTCAAATAACGGCTCCGTCACATGACTACTGGAGAGTTCGCTATTGGACGTACTTGGACGCATGATATACATGACCATTGCTCAGAAATATATGCGCCTGGGCACAACCACAGCCCATTTCACTAGAGACAGGAACATTTACGTGTCAAGATTTTTTTTTTTTTTTTTTTTAAATAGTCATGTATTTATAGTGCCGAATGTAGCTGAACAACAGACCTCTTTGTTCTCCTCGATTGGAGCTTGACCTGCTTGTGTCAACTTTACAAACAAGCCTGGGCTGAGTAATACGAAAGACTTCAATAGCCTTCAATGTTTTCAGTAAAGACGCTCGGTTTTTCCTGACGAGGTCGTAAATTGAAAATTGGAAGAAACACAGCTGAGCAGTAATTATAGCACTGAGCGGCAGGCTGTCTTAGTGACTCAGTTGGATAAAGTGCGTACCACCTAACCACGAGAATCCACTTTGAGTAGGAGCCTTCTCAAATGTCATAATATATTAATTTCACACCAGCTATTTAGTCTGTTTGTGTGGCACACTTTACAAATATAGTAATAAGAGAAAACGAAACTATATGAAAATACAATACAATACTACAAATACCCACCTTTGGGCCCCACGACCAGCCCTACAACACGATATGGTACCCGAACCTATAGGGTTGAAAGAACACGTTACTACAAGCACGTTGAATGACAGTAAAACATAAAAAACAGAGCTCCTCCTTTATGGAACCAACGTACTCGGAAGTTAACATGCACAACACTCAAGACGCAATGTTGTCATATCGCTAACATTGAACAACGCCATGACTCCTAGATCTCACGGCAGCACACCTGAATGGTGGTCTGTCCAGGTAGGGAGGGGGTCCCTGGACCGGTCGCAGCGGCAAGCGGGCCCGTCTTGTTTCGAGAGGCTCTGATGAGGGAGAAGTGCTCTGCTGCCGACAGGATCTCCCTCTTGGCCATGGCCACGTCTTCCCTGCGCCCGGTCACGACAAAGACCGGCTGCTCCCCCCTCACCGGTGTCTTGATGTAGGTGTTGGTCTTGGCTCGTAGTGCCTTAATCTTACAACCTGTCAGTGAAAAGATGAGGAAAGAAAGGGAAACGTTGGGACATTTCCAATTCACTTAAAATGTTTAGCATAACAAAAGCACACATGGTTCCAAACTTTGATTCCAAACTGATAAACGATTACGGCATAAACAGTCCACAGGAACTCACACCCATAAAACGTTGCATGGATTATACATTAAATATTCCTTTCTGCTGTGGTTGAGAGTCCAGCATCATTACCAGAGCCATTTCCTGTTGTTGTCAACAGTGCAGCCCGTGCACCCTCCCCCAACTGGTCTCATTTACCCGGCCGTGCCGTTGCATTATGTAAAGTTTAAGGAACAGAACATATAAAAAGGCGCTCGGTAAATAACCGCGGTGCTTGGCTGAACCGTTAATGCGTCTCGCGTCACGTTGCGGAGCTCACTGTAAAATCCACAGCTGATGTGGCAAAGCAATGGTGTCCAGCGCACCGTGTGCTCCTCATGTTCTCCTCCGAGACAAAGCCCAGCCCGGTTTAGCACGGCGTGGCACGGCTCCGGGAACGGTTTACTGCCCGCTAAGACCATCAATAATGCAGACGAGCTGTCAGCGCGAGGAGACGCAGATGGCTCTGCTGGCTCGTGAAACGCGCGGTGCCAACTTTTGTTGGGGGGTTTTTAAGGGCGCGTGCGGCGTTGACCCACTTAGGAGGCGTGCTAAGCTAAGCTATCTCTCGCGCTAACCGCTGTCGAGGACCAAAACCTTGTCACGCGTTGTTTGAAGCGTGAAATTTAGGTCATTTTTGTAAGCGGTTCAACTATGTGTAATTGGTCAAATGTTTTATGTAAACAACAATTGTATCTTGTCAATTATTTCGCCAATTCTGTGAAGTTGAAAATTGCTTAGTCGTCAGTGCTGGTGCCAACAATAAGTTAACGTTACTAGCTAACAGTCAGCTAACTTTGCTCTAGCCACGTAACGTTATTTGATATTAAACCGTGTCACATGTTAGAATATTCTGCCCTAATTATATTATCCAATAATTCATTTTTAGGGCTTGATTTACTTCGTATTCAACTTTTACCACAGACAATTGAGCAATCTTTTCCACCCAATAGTTGCTTCCAAACTCTTTATGACCAACTTCACGTTAGCTCGCTAGCGTTAATCGATCGATCCAACCAACAACAAAAAAAACACCGGGACTCGACGACGACTCACCCTGTCTGCCCACAATCTCCGCGACGTGCTCGGAGCTCGGTACCGCCACACACTCGGTCGTGTTGACGCTCTTCCTCCGAGCCAACAGCGAAGACTCGGCCTCGTAGCCCGACTCCCCGAACACGCCGGCCGGTAGCATGGCCATGCCGCCGCCGAGCCCGCCGTCGTCCCGCTCGTCCCCGTTGTACAACAAGACCGTCTCGATGTGGGACGTTTCCATCCCGGACGGCATCCCGGAGGAAAGTGGCCCCGATTGGAGGTGTTGGTGGCGGTGGGCCTGCGCCAGAAACGAGGAGTCTGCAGCGGTTATAACTTCGGGCTCCTCGTCCTCGGGCGCAGCGGTTATGTTGTTTACTTCATCTCCCGAGGGCGGCCGATGTAGAGGCTTCAAGTCGAGGACGGTACCGCGGAGGTTGAAATGAGCGACGGGGGGCAGCTGGTGGAGCTGGTGGTGATAAGGGAGGCTATCATCTACTTGCTCCGGGGTCTGGCTTTGAGTGCCGGGGTGTTCCTCGAGGCCCATGCCGGCGAAAGCGTGCACTAGCGGCGGCGGTACCTCGGACTCTCCCTCGTCGGCCTCCAGCAAGGACGTGCTGCTCGGCATGATGGGATCTTTTTTGGGCGTTAAACGGCAATCGATACGAGAAAAAAATGAATCAAATTTGTTTTGCTTTACTGAAGATAAGCGACCAGCGCCTGTTGGTTGAAATGTGTGGCTTTTGTTTAGTCTTCCAGCTCTCCATGCAGCCCTCCCTACACTGTAATCTCGTGACGTTGGTTCTCGCGAGATTTAGGTTTGGGCTCGGGAGTGCAGTCACAACTGTCAGGAAGACGCCCTTAGCGCGCAATGGCGTGTGCAAATAATTAGTCATAATACTACATTTATTGGTTCCCATCTGCCGTGGGTAAATAATTCAGTGCTACCAGGACAAAACAGTGTGTCTAAACAGAGTTGTACTTGAAGGTTTCAAGAGATAAAAACGGAAATGAATAAAGTTGTATTATGCTGTTTAAATTGGGTACACAGTGAGTGCAATGTCAAACCATCTTGGAGTCTGGAAGGTTCTAAAGGGCCCATTCTTCTGATTGTAAGATGCTGATTGGATGAAAACTGAGTAAGACCACAACTTCATCAGGCAGAACATTCTCCAACTCGCTTTTAAGAACAAAAATCGCTGCATAAAACATTGTGTTTCAAATAACTTGTCTAACTAAGCAACAAGCTGGAGAAGTCTAATAACACACATGTTCTCCACAGAAAGACATTTAAGGGGTCTTTGGAGTCTGAGGGGCACCAAACATTCAAAGTATCCCTGATGCAAACAGCTACTCTCCATGCAGTGGTGTTCTGGACCAACGGCAACTCCGATTTAAACCAAAATACATAAGTGTATATTTGATTCAACAGCAAACGTGAAATAGAAAGTAATTTTAATAGTCCCTTACTCTCTACCCTTGGGATGGGGGGGGTCGTGCATAGATTTTTTCAGTATCAGAGTATACTAAACTCTTCTAGACACACCCTATTCCGTCATGGCCGCGAACATCTCATCAATCTGATACCCAATCAACTCTTACAAGCACATGCCTTTTCATACCACAAGTCCTACAACAGTGATACAACAGAAGCCTGGGAGCTGTAAAAAAAAAAAAACATAACTGGAGGTTATAGCAAAGTATGATGATGATTATTCTTAACTGTAGCTATAATAAGTATAGTTTTGTGTATCTTTTAAATATACGATGTCATGTATATTTATATACAATAAGCAGTAATGTATCTAAAAATTGAATATTTACATTGGTGTGTATTGAAAAAAGAGACCACCCTTTATTAGGGTGAGGACGTGGCCCACGTGATATTATAAGCCTGCCTTCTCCCTTTTGATGACCAATGAGAGAGAGTGCAAAAGGCGGGACTTTACATATGACAGCCAATGCCGTATCACGTTTGTAATACGTTACTTAGCTTTAGTCACATCCGGTTCTGCACTTTAAGGTGAGTATTAGCTAATGCTGACATGGATAAAAAAATAATGAATTAAGAAATGTTAATGTTTCAATTTGCTGTAACTTCAACGGCCACAATTCGCCGGCCGTAAGGAAATATTACAAGTTCCTCGTGACTTTGCGTCGCTAAAATACAAAGGCTAGCCAGCAGGCCAGTTAACGTTAGCTTTGAGCTAACAGCTTGTAGCTGATATCAATGTCCGGGTTCGCTTTTTCACCTTATTTGTGTTTTTGCTTCCAACGCCACTGAATGAATTTATTTTCTGCTAATATTAATTTTCGCAGGTCCGCTCAGGTTTTTGCTTTGAGCCCGGCTCTCGGTCTCCAGGATGTACGGATTCTCTCGGGTGCTGTTGCAGGTGCTATCGGCCCAGCTGCTCTGCGTGTTGGTGCTGGGCTCCGAGCTAACTTTTGAGCTCCCAGACAACGCCAAGCAGTGTTTCTACGAAGACATCATAATCGGCACCAAGTGCACATTGGAATTTCAGGTGTGTATTTTGGCAAAAAGTTGAGCCCTCAACGCCTGAATGGGAAGTTATCATTTTAAAGTCGTAACGTTAGATCTGAGTACAAGTTTTCTTGACCGATCAGCTTATGGTACACTTTTTGAAGGATATTATTATGCATTACATTATACAATAAAGGGACTTACATTTTATATAGCTCCTTTCTAGTCTTCCGACCACTCAAAGCACTCAACAATAGGTTACAGGTCAACATTCATACACACACATTCAGACTCTTAATGGCAGAGACATTCATACACACTCACACTCACACTAATGGCCAAGCCTTAGGGAGCAATGTGAGGAGCGTTTCTATGTCCAAGGACGCTTGGACATTCAGAATAGTGGTGTGTGTGTGTAAATATATATATATATATATATATGTGTGTGTAAATATGTGCTCCTCCTGTCTTTGTTTTCCCAGGTGGTTACCGGTGGCCATTATGACGTGGACTGTCGTCTGGAGGACCCAGAAAGCATTACACTCTACAAAGAGATGAAGAAGCAATATGACAGCTTTACCTTCACAGCAGCCAAGAATGGCACCTACAGGTTCTGCTTCAGCAACGAATTCTCCACCTTTACACACAAGACTGTGTACTTTGACTTCCAGGTTGGCGATGACCCTCCACTCTTCCCAAATGAGAACAGAGTCACTGCTCTCACTCAGGTAAGCTTTGAGTGCTGGGATGCACATGCTTTTGCAATTTTTTGTTTGAGGGACTGAACCTAATTCCTCCTCTGATCCCATGGCCTTTGGTTGATAACAGTTGTCGTCACAGTACATTTTGTTTGTCAGCCCTCTGGCGCTTTGGAGACCACTGCAACAAACAACTTGTTGAGCATGAATGCCCTGGTCTCTGCGTGTAGATCGAACAACGGTTGGACACCTTTTCGGTCCCTATTAGGAGAAATCATTTTGTGACTAATAATAACCTGAAAAGAGATTAAACCTCTGTGTTGACTGACAGAGATATTGAACCAGTATGCATGTATGTTTATGCAGTACGCACAGTCAGTATTGCTCAAAAGTTATTTCTGGCTGAATAACAGATTTATCATGAAAAGTGGAAAATATTTTATTGTGTTTAAGATGAACAAATGGTTATAAAAAGTATTTCTGTTGGTAACCAAACTTAACCAGTGGTCATAATTTTGCAAACACCACTACACCCAGTTGATGCCAAAACGCCTCATTAACATGAATGTGTTCATCTTTAAGATTTCAAAATATCTTATGTCTTGGCCTTCTTCCTTTCTTCTAAATACATTTTCCAGATGGAATCTGCTTGCGTGTCGATTCATGAGGCCCTGAAGTCTGTCATCGACTACCAGACTCACTTCCGCCTTCGTGAGGCACAGGGACGCAGTCGGGCGGAGGACCTCAACACTCGTGTTGCATTCTGGTCCATCGGCGAGGCCATTATACTTCTGGTGGTCAGCATTAGTCAGGTGGTCTTGCTGAGAAGCTTCTTCTCTGACAGGAAGACTACTACCACACGCGTCGGATCGTAACAGGCTCTGATCCCCAGGATTTGATTTACCACTTTCTTTATCCGTATATGGACACCTGGACCTGTGCATACAGTAGGTTAAAACATCAGTGCTGATCTGAAATTGGATCATATCAAACTGCTAGATCGTACAATCTCCCGACAGGTCATCCATATACAGCCCTGATTGTCTAACAAACATTATGCTAATTAGTCCTGAAGGTTAAAGGTTATGTATCTTATGTAAGGTTATGTATGTTTTAAAATATTTTTGCAGGGTGAGATGTAAACCTAAAGAAATACATTTTGTTGCTTGTAGCTATCTGTATTGGAGGCTGTCCAAGGTCATATAGTTAAAGCTAATTTCTAAATGTGTTCTTTATTGTATTTGTTATTTTCTGACCCTGTAATTTCAAATGCTATCTCCCTGATCTCATCCAATTTTGAGCGCAAACTGTGCGCAAGTGGAATTTTAACTAAATGTACTCATTCAAGGTTTGTTTTTGTTTGTCTTTACATTTAGGACATTGGGTCTCTAAAACCACTTGTCCAGTGAAATTAAACCCCACAAAGGTTGCATTTTGTTATGAAAAATGTTTTTTTCTCTATTAAACCTTGCTGTGTTATGTGAGAGTAGGTATTGTGTTGTGTTTTTATAAACTTGTCATTTACTTTTTGCTGAATGATTGAGGACTTTCTTTGTCCTTGCTATGCATGAGTTTGAACATAGCTAGCTGAGTTAGCTCATTTTAAATGTCCTAATTATACGTGTGACAATGTGGAAGGCAAAAAAAGGACATTCTTTTGAAAATGCCAGCAATTTTAAGTGCACCATGTCCTGCACCGGTTCCCTTGCAATGTCATAGCTAGGTTTTCCTTTGCTGTTTAAAGTGTAGCAACTTATTTATCTTGTGGGCTGATATGGCTATTTTGGTTTCATAAAGCACTGTTGTAATATTCATGTTTTGCAAAAAATGCTTCATTATAAGTTTATTCCAGTAACTTTGAGTTGTAGTTTTGATTAGAACAATGCACAATTTGCTTTTTGGAAGCAGACTTGAAGGCTGAAACAAAGGTACGTAATTATAAAGTACTTCTTTGGAAGTTCACCTGTAAAATGTTAGAAACTAAAGATAAGCTTAATCGATTTCACTCAACAGAACATCTTCTGACAAAGGCTTTGTAGAATAACTTCTTCTTTCTAGTCAAATATTTGTTCTGGTTTCCTTCCCCCTATAACAGTTTTGGTAGGAGGGTCAAGGCTGGCATTTCAGTTTATGCTCCATGTGACGTCAGACAATTTTTGGAGGAGTAGTTTAACCATTTCTCAAAAATGGTGAATGTTACTGGTTTATTTATTCTATGAAAGTAAATTATGTATTTTTGAGCTGTGGGAGAACACGTCATTTAGCGCGTAATCTTGGGCCTGGGAAATGATCAACAGAATAAACAGTGTAGATTACAACTGCAGCACTATTTTGAACAACAAATTCAGCGCTGAAGCATTCTGGGAACTGTAAGTTAATTATATTTTGGTCAAAATGTCGTATTTTATCTAATCAATAACCTTGCTTTTCAGTAAGGGAGGACGTTTTTGGTTGTATCCCCCGTCATGCTTATTTCATCCTGCAGGGAGGGATATAATCAAGGCCGTCACATATTCATGTTCATATTTTCACCCGGACATTAAAGAATCCCTCTAGAAGACACGTTTTAATAATTCCTCCGACGTCAGTTGATCTTGTTATGGTAAGTATTTATTTATAAACTCCCAAGGTTCCTAAAGAGCCGCGATCTTTTTTGTGGCTTCTTATTGACTACGTCACAGTCTACTAGCTCCGTGATTGGCCGCTCACACGTCGATCATTCGTGCAAATCGAGAGAAAAAAACGCCCCACTGCGTTGGATTTGCTATTTGACAGAGTCGTGATCATCCGGTGGAGCCGTGGGTGGAAAGCCTCCCCTATTTACCTTCCATTTCGCCGAGCTCATTGTCGTGTCGCCTTACCGAGTGGCTACACCGACGACTGCTGCTCGCCTCTGCGGGGGGTAACGTTTGCTAACGTCACCGGTTTTGTCGCCGTGTGTGGAAGGAAAAACTGCTCGGACGCCGGGGACGTCCCCCGTTTGCTTGAGTAAGTAACCGAACAAGCTAAGCTAAGAGCAGCGGGACGTGACGGGTGGATTTTCACTATTTCGGCCCGGCGGGGGGAAGTGGATATAAATAACGTCTGATGAGTGCGTTGTGGAACAATGACACTCGCAGTGAGCCGATCTGACGGCGGCGGGGAGCAGACGTGTCGGTGGAAGCGCGTCGGCTGAGCGTATGACGCTAAGCTAGTCGGTTGAGCTAATTTGATCAAGGAAGTTGACTAGCACCTTGCTAACGAGGCGACACATGTATCACCGGAACAAAGGTCGTTTTAAAAGTCTGAGTTGATACAATTAAAGAGTCGCTGAACTGGCAGGTGATGGCATTTTTTAAGGCTGAAGTTTTGAAAGTGAAATATCGCGTGTGTGTTTTTTTTTAACCGTCACGCGAGCTAACGTCAGCTGGTTCGCCGCTAGCTTGTGAGTCGCTGCTTTCTTGTAAACAAAGGGTCTCGAGCTCCACCTGTTCCCCTTTGACCTTTTTGGTTTCACGGACGGTATTGCACCCCTCCCTCCCCTTTTTTAAAAACTAAACGAGGAAGCTCAAACACCCTCCGCAATGGATTTAAAGACTGCCGTATTCAACGCAGCCAGGGACGGGAAGCTCCGCTTGCTCCAAAAACTACTGGAGAACAAAGATGGACACGAGGTGACCAAGCTGACGGGCGACAAGACGAACGGCGCCACGCCGCTCCTGATGGCCTCCCGGTACGGCCACCTGGACCTGGTGGAGTATCTGCTGGAGTGCTGCAGCGCTCCAGTGGAGGTCGGCGGCTCGGTGAACTTTGACGGGGAGACCATCGAGGGGGCGCCCCCTCTCTGGGCCGCCTCGGCGGCGGGACACCTGAAGGTGGTCCAGTCCCTGCTGGGCCACGGGGCGTCCGTGAATAGCACCACCCTCACCAACTCCACCCCTCTGAGGGCGGCCTGCTTCGACGGCCACCTCGACATCGTGAGATACCTGGTGGAGCACAAAGCGGACCTGGAGGTTGCCAACAGACACGGACACACGTGTCTCATGATCTCCTGCTACAAGGGACACAAGGAGATCGCGCAGTACCTGCTGGAGAGAGGCGCGGATGTCAACCGGAAAAGTGTCAAAGGTCAGTGGGCAGCACACTCTCGCAGGGACCCCCCCAGGTGACGTAGCCTCATACATCAGAGGTGATAGTGCGCTCAGTGTAGTATGCAGTCGACAATATGAGATGGTGATTTGCATGTTTCCATTTAAAGTGACTCAACAGAATAACATGAACTTCTGGTTTCACAATGGAAAGCTGTGATGATGATGATGACTAGTCTGCCAGCTGGCACTGATTCAGTGGGTGTGTCTTCCGCTTGACTTTGCTGTTCTAAGAATATATATGAAAACAAGTGTCCATTTATTTTAGGAGATTTTTTTTTTTACCCGCCCACAAAGACGTCCCATAGGATATCTTTTTATTTGCCTGATGAACCCACCTTTGGTTCTCTTACGCGTTCGTTCTTTAGACCATTGCCTTTCCCAGAGCAGCTGAATCAACAGGAAGGTGTAGATTATTATTAGTATAAAGTGGCAAGCACCCAAAATACAATCAAAACTGATTTGATTCCTTACTGAGGTGTCCTCACTTCAGCTTAAGAGTCTAAATTCAGTTTGGAAGCACATAATGACCATTCAGACTAAACGCTGTCTTTGGAAAGGATTTCCTGCCTTTCTAGATTAACGTGTGAATTCACCCAGAAGAGCCGAACTCTGAAGCCATTGTTCACTGTGTAACCATTGATGTTTACGTTATTACCCCAATAAAAGTGTCCACTCCGGTAGCACCCGATTTGACCTGAGGAAGAGGCACCATGACAAATTTTACACTGATGAACTAGTAAAGCGTAAGTAAAAGCGTTTACCCAGTCAGAAGCGTGATAGAGATGTTGGACTGCAATGTAACTAGAGGAAAACTTGAGTATAAATAATGGCTAATCCCTGTCTGGTCTGCTTGAATATGGATTAACCTTAATGTACCGTGGCTTAAGTGAGAGCGGCCAGGTTAAACGCAACGTTTGTTTGTGTAAGTTACCATGTTATGGTGGACATTAAGACATTAGGTGCTTGAACTCTATCTTTCCACTGTGACTTTGCTTGCTTTCTGCAACTGAAATGGCTGTTTTGCACATTTTATAGTTGATAATGTGCTGCATAATTTGTTGACTGCTGATGAATATACTCCCGATGTCTTGAATCTCTTCACTTATCACATGCACCACCCCGCCATAAAGAACCTTTTCCTCTGGCATCATGATATGCAGATCATTTAGCATTGCGTGCTCATCACCGTAAATGGTCCACTGTTCACAGGCAACACGGCGCTTCACGACTGCGCGGAGTCGGGCAGTCTTGAGATCATGCGGATGCTGCTGCAGTTTGGAGCGTCCATGGAGCAGGACGGCTACGGCATGACCCCGCTGCTGTCCGCCAGCGTCACGGGCCACACAAACATCGTAGACGACCTTACGACGCACCAGCAGGTCGGGCGCTCAGTCTTTGTTTGCATGGATGTGTGTGTGTGTTTGTTTGTGAGGCTGTGGTTACAATGTTTAAATTGTTGAATACCCCAAAATCAAATAATGTTGTCCTCTCTTCAGACAAGCCACAAAGCGCGCATAGACGCACTGGAGCTCCTGGGAGCCACATTTGTCGACAAGAAGAGAGATCTGCTCGGAGCGTTAAAATACTGGAAGAGAGCCATGGACCTCCGGTACATGGACAGCAACCACGTCGTCCATAAAGCAGAAGCCAAGCAGCTGATCATGGCATACGACTACGCCAGAGAGGTGAGCGTTGCTTTGAGCCCAACAGGCTCCTCCCTGGAGTGATTTCTCATTTCTGCTCTAATAATAGATTTCATTGCTGCTGACATGGTCATATTTGGGTGGTGACACCATATGGTTTAACAGGATGACTTAAAATCTTTAAGTTGCATTCTGGGTCCTTTTTTAATTATTTGGATAAATCGTTACATAAACGGCAAAAATTGCTCCACCCTGCCATTGCCATGACGAGGTCATCCTCTTCTTAGGTAACAAACGGAGAAGAGCTGGACGGGCTGATATCCGACCCGGATGAGATGCGCATGCAGGCTCTGCTCATCCGGGAGAGAATCCTTGGCCCACAGCACCCGGACACGTCGTACTACATCCGTTACCGAGGGGCCGTCTACGCCGACTCGGGGAACTTTGAGCGCTGTATCAATTTGTGGAAGTATGCCTTGGACATGCAGCAAAGCAACCTGGACCCCCTCAGCCCCATGACTGCCTCCAGCCTGCTGTCATTCGCCGAGCTCTTCTCCTTCATGCTGCAGGACCGAGCCAAAGGGCTCCTGGGGACGTCTGTGTCATTCGAGGACTTGATGGGGATCCTTTCCAAAAGCGTGCTGGAGATTGAGCGCGCAGTTACACAAACTGGGCCGATGCCTCCGGACCCTGCGCAGCTCAGCAAGGCCCTGTCAATCATCCTGCACCTCATTTGTCTTTTGGAGAAGGTGCCCTGTACTGCAGAGCAGGACCACTTCAAAAAGGAAACCATCTATAAGTGAGTTCCTGTGTACGTGACTTGTGTTGCCAGTGATTTGTCTTCAGTGAATTCCCTCTGTAGCCCTGTAAAGTGAGGCCCGTAACAAGTGTTCACACACTACGAAATATGTCCGTTCTGAAGGAAATGTCAACTTTTTGGACCACTGGTTTTCCTTTTGACGAAGAAAAGTATCTCATGCTTTGGTAGCTTGAACTTGCACTATTCCCCCATTTTTATTTAAATAAGAACTAAACAATGCGTTCCCCCTTTGCGGTTTTGGTAAATTTGTGTCTGCACCCAGATGTCTATTTGTGCCACTGATTGCGTCACACCGCAGGTCCTCATTGTCCCTTGTTTGAGGACGGGGGACACTGTCCCTGGCTTATGCTGACGGTTGGTGCTCATTGTCACCTTTTTGGCTGTCCCTCGACCTGAAAGCTCCTCCTCCCAAATCTTCCCAGATTCCTGAAGCTGCAGCCCTGCGGTAAAAACGGCTACAGTCCACTACACCTGGCGGTCGACCGCAACACTACCTGTGTGGGCCGCTATCCCGTCTGCAAGTTCCCCTCCCTCACCGTGGCCTCCATCCTCCTCGAGTGTGGGGCCGATGTGAACAGCCGTGATGAAGATGACAACAGGTCTGTTTGTTTTTTTTGTTTTCCTGCAACTCTTGTTTCAGCTGTCCTTGTTGTTTCTCTGTATAGTTCTGATTATAAGAGGAAAGGACACAGTAGAAAAAGGTTAAAACAATCATTGTTTTTTTGAAGAAGGTTAATGGAAAAACACTTCAAACGCTTCCCGGTTGTGCCGTCATGGCTGCCACCAGTTGGACAAGTAACATGAGCTTGTCACGACGCACCAATGATAATGTCTCATAGCGGATCTGTTGTCTCCTCCAACCCACCAGCCCCCTTCACATAGCCGCATCCAACGGTCACCCCGACATCATGAACCTGCTGATATCGTGCGGGACTCACTTCGACTGCACCAACGCCTTCCAACAAACGGCCTACGATATCCTGCACGAGAAGGAGCTGTCCAGGAACGTAATCCAGCCCATAAACCACACCACGCTGCAGTGCCTCGCCGCCAGGGCCATCGTCAAGCACAGCCTGGCTTACCGGGGGAACATCCCTGAGAAACTAGAGGCCTTTGTTTTGCTCCACAGATAATGAATACAGGGTGATGGATGTTTGAAAAGAGGATTGTGTGTGGGAGGGGAAGGAGGGGGTCACATCAAGTGGATTAGACAGAGGAGGGTGAGGAGAATTATGACGTTTGCAAACTATTCGGAGTTGGAACTTGACTATTTTGGTGAACAAAAATATCCTCAGTCAAATGGAAGGAAGTGAGTGGAGCAATGGGTCACCGCTCCATGGAGCCAACGCTCCGACCGCTGGCAGCCTGAACTGTGGGGACGTGTCTCTGATGCAACGTGGACAAATGCAGTTGTATTTTTCTTTGGCATATTCCACAATACTATTTATTGAATGACACTTGAGAGATTTTTCTCCATGCTGGCTCCACCCCAAGTCTCAACTTTGCCTGCGTCTCTTCTCAAAGCAAGCATTTGAGGCGTTTCTACACATGCTGGGACTTTTTTGGGGGGTGGGGGGGGATTGTACCATCACTGTTGCCAACGGTCATGGATCCTTCCTCAAGTCATCACTAGGTTTCGTTTTATTTGTTTCTTTTGTACTTTTTACAGAACATTCAGTTATCGTCATGCAACTCTGGATATCTACCAAGTGGTGTGGGATCTAGACTCCTTTTTGTGGTTCCAACTTTAGTGTATTACGAAGCTTTACGAGCGGGGGGGGGGGGTCAATGTCTGCGAACACCACAAGTGCTTTATTCTTCTATGCACAGGCTATGCTGTTGGAAAGAGACTGTTGTATTCTGTGCCGGCACTTGTCTGTGCAATATCATGAGTTTTAGTGTTTACCTCATTGCTGCCGTTTCCTCCAGTATGTCCCCTTACTTCAGCCGCAGAGGGGTGGGGCTGCAAAAACCATTGTACTGATTGTTGTAAGAAGAGAATGAATGCGACTGAGTTTTTGTGTGTGTGTAAGTACAATGCAGTGTTTCTTGTATGCAGAGTGTTTTTTTTTTTTTTTTTTTTTTTTTTTTTTAGGGAGCGTACACAAATTGTTGAGGACAAAGGTTTGGCAAGGTGTCACTCATGGAAATTCCACGATGCACATTACTGCAAACCACAGCGGCCAATCTGTCTCCAACTGCTGGAATGTGCAGGCTTGTACACGGAAGTGACCTCTTAACACTGATCCACGGCCGACATTTAAATGCTGTTCTTTTTAAAAACCATGATCAAAAAGATAACCAGCAATTGGCCCACTGTGCACATGCAGCGGCACATCAACCAAACAATCACTGCAGACCAACCTTTTTGACGAGGACTCCCTAGACTACAGCTAGGATCTAGTTTCCCCTTTTGTACGACCTTCGTCCAAATGAAAGAACAGAAAAGGGGGGAGCAGGCGGGCGCCTCGACGTCCGGAATAGTAAAGCTCTGTGAATTATCTTGTTTGCACATTAGCTTTAGATGTGTGGGTTGCAAAAAGGGCTTTTCATAAATCATAGGATTTCATATTTCAGTCTACTAAAAACTGACATGGAAAATGTAAGCGGACTCCCAGGGCAACTTGATTTTACCTGCACTTTATTACAGCGGAGTTTTGATATGGCATTAATCAAGTTCATGTCTTAATAACCAGTTTGACAATAAACCCATGTTGCACTTGTGTCTTGGTCCAAATGGTTTTATTTCCTTACTCTGGCAATTTGTATGCCTCTTTTTCTTCATTGACCAATGTTTCAAGAGTCATTTTTTATTTTATTTATTTTTTTAGGTGTTACTTTCACATTTGGGATGGAAGGCAGCTAAACTACATGTATTCATCCCATCAAGACTATTTTTTATATATATATATTTTTTAACTGGCCTGATTTAAAATGTGTATTTTACATTTTAGAACTGTTAGGGAGAAGATAGAGAAAAGATATTTTACAAAATCCTCAGCTTTGGCCAAAAACCAGCATTTTAATGTCAGGGTTCCTCTTTGGAGCAGTTTTGCTGCTGCGTTGTCCTTTTTAACTTGATGGATTTCCTCAGTGAGCGAGGGACTCGTTCCACATACTTGATTCACATACTGCTTTTTTTCTTTTTTTTTTTCTCACCAGTGCACATTCTAGGTTGACAATGAGCGCTTCATCTAGCAACTTGGTGGTTGCGTATTTATGACATTTCAAACTTGCAATGGAAGTCTGTCTTGTTCCTCACCAAATCCAAACGTAGAGACCGTTTTTTTTTTTTTGTATTTGTTTCTTTCTTTCTCTTTCTCGCACCGTCCACCTCTCCCACTGAGGCTCTTATCGCCAGTTTCCACCTGTATCTCTGATTGTCACACCTTTTTGCTTCGATGACTCACTTCCAAAATCCCGACCGAAGTCTTGAGTGGGGATTTCTTAATGAGTCATGATGACTGTGTGTTCAAACCAGCACTTTAATGCTTGTCTCACAGCTACTTGAAACCACACTGTCAATCTTACATAAAAGATAGGAGCATAACAGGGAGCTTCCCTGCCCTGTGACAACCAACTGGAATGAGACACTGGTGTAACTGGGATACATGTGATGGTCTTTTGTGTGGTTTACTGGCACTGAGGAGTGTTATGGAACTCTTGTGCTCTGAACGATCATGACCACACCCAGGATTACCTGCTGCCATACAAATACTATTCATTCCTACAGATATATTTCTGGGAATTAGATCAATTATAAAATATATCTGACTTGACTCATCTCTCTGACTCCTCTTCCTCTCCGACCTGTTCTCTCTCAGTTCATGTCCAGATGTCCTCCAGCAGGAATGTTGATGTCTCTCACCGACCATGTGGCCCAGCCTCACTTATACGGTCCATTAAAATATCCCCTCTTAAGGTAATTAAAGACAAAAGTTACAGTCCCCCTTTTGCAAAAAGTTCAGCTGAGTATCAATGAGTCTTTAACAGTGTTGTGAAAGTCTGACGGAGTAGATTTCTAAGCGTCAGTGTTTTCTAGCTGTGATCTTGCTGCAGCCGTCCGCCCTCCTGTTTGGTTATCAGGATTTAGTTTTGCTCTGTTCTGCAGGGTACATGGTGGCATCGCACAGTCACAACTTATTACTGTACACTAACATTACACTTCTGCTGTCGATACAACAGCAGCTGACTGAATAATGATTGACAGCTTGTGAAGCACAAAGGCTATTTGACGACAACACTTTGGAAGATATGCATTTAATTGGTCTGTAACGGACAGCTGGAGCTGTTCCCTTCAGTCCTCCTCCGTCAGATGGGAATGGTTTTAGTAGATCACTTTGCAAGCCAGTACAGGAGCAACATTTACAACGACCAGTTAGTGTTTAAAGTTCAAACCTATTAATGAGAACTGCTTATTCTTCAACACGTCATTACATTTGTGTGTGAGTTTGTCACTTTCCTCTTCATGTGCAGTTGGTGACGGGGGGAAACCACGTCTTGCTTTTAATCCCTTAAGCAAGAGGAGTTAACTGGAACAAAACACATGGGTTGGATGCAGAAAAGCGCAACACGGAGGAGTCACTCAGCGTACGCATGGCTCACCTCAGGGCTTCTTCTTTTTACGCGGCCCTTCTGCAGGGCTCTGCGCTCAGCCTACTTCGGTCCCGTCTATATTTAGGGCTGATGAATGCCCTGTTGGAAAGCTGTCCTACATTGAGCGCGCTCCTCTCTGAATACCTGCAGGTGGACTCGCCTCAGTCACCTGACGCCTCTCCTCTGCCTGTGTCTTCGATAAATAAAAGCAAGAAAATGGTGATCATCACATCTGTGGCTACCTCCTCTCTCCAATGCATGAATTTGATCTTTAATGTCATTGCAAGTTGAAAATATTTAGGTTTCAAATCACATGGTAAAACGAGGCCTTTTGATATTACACAACTTGTGACACACATTTGAACATTGGCCTTTCCAAGCATTAGTAACTGTGATCTGTCAGATGTCAACATCTGCATCCTTACATCCTGAAAACCAGATGTTTCTGTGTTTACTGCAGCTGGAGACACCTCGGTGCAACTTTGTACTGCCGAACCAATTCAAACATTTTTAACCCCGCCCACACTTCTGGAGTTCAAATACATTTCCAAAGGTTCCTTGGTGTGAAAGCACGCTGAACCGCTGCATCCTTTATTCCCCCGAGCCCTCCTGCCCCGGGACAGTTCACCCAGCAACACTCTCATTCTCAGACAGATGTGAAATGGAGATGGATCTGCACTGATTCACCAGGCTGGCACTTTCGTTCCTGTTTGCCTTGGTGCAGCAGTGCCCGGCTACAGATGAGAGGAGCTCCGGCTGAATGCAACACAAGAAAGTGGTGCTGGGAAACGTGACCGATTGCATAAGAGCCCCTTTAGCTAAAATAGATATATAAAGATATTAATATAAAGATCACTGTGGTGTGAGTCTGACACTGGTCTGTACTGGACACCGCGGCCTCGTTCTCGTCTCACTAACACACACATATAATCAATGGTCGGACCGGGGTAATTGTGTGTGTGTGTGTCTGAGATCGAGAGATATTGTTGCTCTTCAAGCACTCTGCCATCAAGACTTTCCTATTTGAGCCAGCTGTCCAAACAAGGCGAGTATAAATAGAGGGAGAATTAGCTGGCATGGTAGTGAACATAACAACAAATACACAAATTCAGCAAGCGCAAATTCCCCTTCTGACTTTGGGTGAGACAGACTCTCGAGCTATTAAATGTACAACGTTGAAAAGAGAGGAATAATTTGAACAAAGGACACGCATGGATGAAAGAGCACACACACTCACACGTCCCCCCCGACCCCCCCGCATCCCATCCTCCAAGATTTAGTGGAGTCTATTGATCGCGTTGTTGACAGCGTTCTCACCAGACTGTACATTTATCAACATGTTGGGATTGTTTTACATGGCGGATAAACTGTTTGAGGGGGGATAAGTGTGTGCGAGGGTCTACTGCTAGTGTACACGGGGCATTTGGGGTAACCTGGACAGCTGCTGTTGGAGCCTGTGCAAAGACACACACAGGAGTGTGCGATCAGGAACTCCAGCCAGGCAGCAGCGACACGGAGAAACCCGCTGACCCTTTTGCACACAGATTACCCAGGAATGTGTTTCCTCACAATCCAGAAATCCATGTAGGCACCCTTTGTTTACGGACTTTAACTCTGATATCTGGAACCAACCAAACTTGTGACTCAGGTTTTACAACATTATTTTCACATATAATGGCCTTGAAAGAGGTTTTATGTGTTCCATGATACGGATAAGATTAGACCTCTCTCGAGGAAGACCGCTGTGCTTTGGCTCACAAATATGTCATCAATCATAACATCAATTATCTAAACCGGCCCGTAGAGTCCAAGAGAAATCTCCCTTTTTTCTGACCCTTTCCTGCTCCCTTTACTGCATGTGTACCTTCCATCTGGCAGCAGGTCATGAACTTGGCAATGATGTCAAAGCCATCCAACAAATATCCAACAATGGTTCCACTCGTAATTTAGCTTTTGTTGGATTTCA